AAAATTTAAAAAAAAAAAAAAAGGAAAAAAGAGCACATCTGCTTAGGGAAATGGCACTGCTCATAATTCTTCACTGTCCACTGACTATAGAAAAAGCTTTTGTATCATATTCAACATGCTCATCCTTTTGGCCCTGATGCTTAGCCCTAGTCAACTAAGCCTTGTCATTGTTCCCTGAGGGCCTTTTCTGCAGGTTTCTCCATGGCTCACTCCCTCCGGTCACTTAGGTCTTTGCTGGAATATCACCTATTCAGAGAGAACTTGCCAGAACACCCCATGAAAAAACTGTACCCGGGTGGTGGGATCCAAAAATACCCCAAGAATTTATTTATAAAAAATTGTGCATTTATTCTTACATGTTTAAACTTCAGTCACCTTTAAAGTACTCTCCATTTGATGCAATACACCGAAACGCTTTTTCACTGCTCAAAATGGTTTTTGAGCTCGTCAATTTTGATGTTTTTTAGTGCCTCTGCTGGTGTTTATTTGTTTCACCTCTTTCACATTGGCAAAATGGTTCCCTTTGAGGACTCTCTGTTCTCTTTTTTTTTATAGTCAATATTTTTTATTATGATATTGTGGGGTACAGTTAAGTGTTAGGTATACAAATATGCTTCGTTCAGGCACCCTTGTTGATAAGAGGTGTCTCCCTAACCCCAGACAGATATTTACTACCGTTAATCCCATCTCCCTTCCCCTCCCCCCCATAGTTTCCCACCACTGTCAGTCATTTTCTTATAGTATTACATTGGATGTTCAAGGTCTACTATATGAGTGAGAACATTTATCCTATCTAATTTTTTTTTCCGTTGAGCACTTATCATTGCAAGGTATATTATGTATTTGTTAGTTTCTTTATTGTCTCTCTCTCCCCATTAGAATGTATTTCCATAGCACATGGACTTCAATATTTTGCTCAATGCTCTCCCCAGCACCTAGAATAGTAAATGCTCAGTAGATTGCTATGGAATAAATGAATGAAGCTCTGAACTAGTCTAATTCCATTTTTTCTTTCTCTAGATAGAAATATTCTTTTCTTCCTAGACGATTTGTTAAAAATTATATCCATATTTCAAGCCCTAGCTCCTTAATATGATGCATAATTTCTTCTTTATCTGTGTCTCAACCATTCTTTAAGTCTTTCCTAGGCAAGAGCACTTATTCCAACTGTACTCTGTATAACTGGTATATAAGGGAAGATGACTTTGTCTCCGCTAAAGAGGTCCTATCCTGTCCCTTTGCTCAATCTTCCCTTGCGGGACAAGGGCTCACTCATTTGACTGGTCACTCAGGGAAGAAAAAACTGAATAAGAGTCCTTGTTCAGACCCTTTGTCTTCCTCTTGGAAGTGAGCTGCCTGCAGAGAGCTGAGTTTTGCTGCCTTCTCCAGGGCAGACATTTCCAGGGAAGCCTGACTCCACTGGGTGGGTGAGTCAGCCTGACCCAGGGCTTGATCAGCAAGTCCATTTGCTATCTCACACCAAGATACTCCAACCCAACATTTACCAGTAATAAAGACTGACTCTTTTATTTATTTCCCAAACTTCTCAGAACCTGGAGAGGAGAAGGGGAAGAAGAGAGTCATTACTATTTCCTCAGTTACCTAGAGAGGTCTGTGTCTGTCTCCTCCATGAGGCCTAACCATTCCTCTGGCTCAGGATCTTAAACACTCCGAAAGTGAACTGAATTGAGTTTCTTTTCAGATACATGGATTTACATCATGGACCATTTCCACTCACCTGTGGCCAACAGCCAACACTACAGAACAGCTGGCAGGACTAGGGGAAGGGAGGCAGCCTCACCACACAGGCACTTCTCTGGGTAGTGTTGGCTGCAGGGCTGGACCGCAGGACTTCATTCCACTAGCATCACACTCTAATGAAATTAACTAATAAGTGCAGTAAGTACTTGCTGACTACAAATGCAGTCAATGAGGAAAACTCATTTGGCTCGAATTTTCCAGTCCTCAAACAGTCATACTGCATTCACTTACACATTTTAAAACTGTGGTGAGTTGGGAATGACACATGCTTAATTATGACTCCCCACTAAGTTAATGAGCTTTTGAAAATAAAACCATTTCTCAGGGCAAACAAATCCCTGCTCCAAATCACTCTGATACTTTCACAAAACTCTGAAAGACCTAATTTCGTAAATAGGCCTTCTAACAAGTGAATAATTTGACTCTCAAAGTCGACTTTCTTCACCTGGGCTCCCCATAGGGTCACTGTACTCACAAAACACTTAGATTACATTAAAAATCTATGGAATGTGGGTTAATTTCATGAAATAAAATGCAAGCAAAATAACTACAGGCTTTCCATTAGAAGGAAAAAAAATGAAAAAATAAATCTGCTCACCTGAAAACACATCAAGTCTTCTAGCCCCTGCATCTCTGGAAATGATATAAAAATATTATTGCTTCAATATGAAATTATGTTCTAAAAAATTACAATAATCTGAATTGCTTATGTGAGGCAAAATCTATTGTCAGATATCAAACGATACAAAAAGCCACTTAAATTGCTTCAAAATCAATTACTAAAAAGTTTCAATGTACTTTTATATAATAAGACCTATGATCACTCACAATTTGAGAATATTAAAAACCCTGAAACTCAGAAACTTAAAAGAAGAGATGAAACTTAGTGGTAGTTACACAAAAAGCTCAATAAAATGGATATATATCTTTTTTTAAACTGGCAGGAAAAAAATCCAGAAGTCATGGAATGTCTTTATGATAGTTTACCCCAAAAAAAGGGAAGAAAAAGCAAATTACTAGGTAAAATGTATTATATGATCACATTTTTATGAACATCTGTGATATACAAGTACATATAAAGAAACAAGTCAAATTGTTAACAGGCATTTTCCCTAGGTCGGATGTCAGCAAACTAGAGCCCATGAACAAAATCTGTCCCAGCAAGTGCTCTCTACATAAAGTTTTATTAGAGCACTGATATATAACTCACAAAACAACTGAATGAACATAGGCTACAGCATGGTTATCAACACAAAACAGATCTAATTTACTTGCACTTCAACACTGATCCTACACACAAATTAAACAAACTAAATAAGAAATAAATACTTCTTTCTCTCGCTTGTTATTTTTTCCTATAATACTCTGATTTTATAGAAAATCAAGACACAAAACAGTACAGATGAAAAAAAATGGCATAATCTTTTTATTCTTCCAATATAACTAGACCGGATGTGTGTCATGAAATTCCTGCAACAAACTTTATTCACAATAACTCTTACCTTGCATTGTCCAGCAACTCAGCCAGTGCTCCAAAAAGGAAGCTGTGAGTGGTGCTGATGAGGAAATAAAGAGAAAACAAAAAGTTAAAACAGGTGTGTAATTAGCGTAAAAGGTTCAAGACACTTGCAGACTAATGTTCTCCAGTTTCAGACAGATAATCAATTAAGAAGTTATGCTGGAAACAACTTTCTTAGCACAGTCAAGATTCAGAAGTAGATGCCCCTCCACTACGAAGCCAGGGACAAAGGACATTTTTGCTAAAACCTCCTGTCCACTCCTAAGAAAATAAAAACTTACTGTGTAGTAAGGCTGCCTCTCTCCCCGCAGGCCCACCAGCTGTTCTGTAGTGTTGGCTATTGGCCACAGGTGAGTGGAAATGGCCCATTAGTGTAAAAATGTTTTTACGTCAATTTGTGATCAATATTTCTAAAAAATATTGATCAAAATCCTGGTCTACTAAAAGGCCGTAAGGTTCCATCTGCAGGTACAGAGTATCGTCAGGGCAAAATCTGACCTTTTAATATTGCTTTGTAAGCACATATTCAACTGGGTTTTTTTTTCCTGAGAATTTTTCATTAAAATGTTATTATTTAAATCCAGATTAGCAGGCAAGATGGCTCACACCTGTACTCCCAGCGTTCTGAGAAGCCAAGACAAGGGGATTGCCTGAGACCAGGAGTTCGAGACCAGCCCGGACAACATAGTGAAATCTCGTCTCTAGAAAAAAATCAAAAATTGAGCTGGGTGTGGTGGCATGTTCCTATAGTCCCAGCTACTCAGGAGGCTGAGACAGAAGGATTGCCTGATCCCAGGAGGCCAAGGCTGCAGTGAGCCAGGATTGTATCACTGCACTTCAGTCTAGTTGACAGAATGAGGCTCTGTCTCAAAAAAAAAAAAAGCCAAATTATTTCTAAAAAATATCGATCAAAATTCCGGTCTACTAAAAGGCCATACAGTTCCATCTGCAGGCACAGGAACTGGCAGGAGGCCCCTATTTGCCTCACCAAGTGGTGTTTTTCTGGAGAATCTTTCCATCTCTGAAAAGCCCAGCCCACTCCTTAAATCAATTACCTGCGGTCATTCTCTCCCGTAGCCCTGAATGACAGGACCTCAGTAACTGAACACTCCAGGCAGCCTTCACTATTTACAACACTTTCAAGGCTGAATGGTTATCAGTGGGCGGAACCAAGCCGCCTTCAGGGTCCCAGGCTTGCTTTTCATTTCCTGATGTGGGTATTTCAATCAGCAACCTTATCACAGCATTAAGGGATGATTCAGTACGCAGTTTTCTTTCTATATGTAGTAAACAGGTAACAGAAGCAAGAGAGACCCATTTATCAAAAAAAAAAAATCTGCTAATTTGTACAAAAGAGAGTATCATCTGCAATATCTCAGAGTCTCCAAGTATTCTAGGCCACAAGACACTTTAGCTTAAAATTTACTTTAAACACACACACACAGTATATGTCACCATTTTTGGACTTGTAAACTTCAAGCACAAATGCTGATGAAAAGTCTCTTCAGTCAAGTCAGTTTTAAAGTTTGTAATTAAAAACAAACAAACCCACAAACAACTACTAAGGCCGGGCACAGTGACTCACAGCTACAATTCCATCTTTTGGGGAGGCCGAAGAGGATTACTTGAGCACAGGAGTCCAGACTAGGTAACATAGCAAGACCCTGTCTCTACAAAAAAACTTTTAAAAATAGCCAGGTGGAGTGACACATGCCTGTAGTCCCAGCTACTTAGGAGGCTGAGGTGGAAGGATCGCCTGAGTTCAGGAGGTTGAGGCTGCCGTGAGCCATGATCATGCCACTGCACTTCAGCCTACAGCCACTGCACTCCAGCCTCTACAGAATGAGACCCCTACTCAAAAAAAAAAATTGCTAAAATGTAATTGTTATATAAAGATGCCCTTCCAGTAGCAGCCAACAGATATGTGAAAAAATGCTCAGCCTCACTAGTCATCAAAGAAATGCAAATTAAAACCACACTGAGATACCACCTAACTCCAGTCAGGATGGGCATCATCAAGAACTCAAAAAACAACAGATGCTGGAGAGGAGGTGGTGAAAAGGGAACACTTCTACACTGTTAATGGGAGTGTAACTAGTACAGCCTCTGTGGAAAACAGTGTGGCGATTCCTAAAAGATCTAAAAATCGACCTTCCATATGACCCCGCAATCACCTTACTGGGAATATACCCAGAAGAACTCAAATCACTCTATAAAAAAGATACCTGCACACATCTGTTTATTGCAGCATTGTTCACAGTAGCAAGAACATGGAACCAACCATGCTGCCCATCAAAAAGAGGACTCGATAAAATAAAGGTAGTACATATACATGATGGAATAGTATGCAGCCATAAAGAAGAATAAAGTTATGAACTTCACAGCAACCTGGATGGACTTAGAGTCTATAATACTGAGTGATCTTTCACAGAAACAAAGAACTGAGTATCACATGTTTTCACTCATAAGCGGAACTTGAACAATTATTGCAATACTATAAGAAAAGGATTGGCAGTAGCAGGAAACTGCCGTGAGCGGCGCGGGGAAGCAGAATTGGCAGTAGTGGGAGTCTGCCTGGAGAAAGGGAGGCACACTTCATCAACAAGGGTACCTGCATAATGAACATTTGTATATCTAACCCTGAATTGTACCCCACATCTTTAAAATAAAAAATAAAATAAAAGTTAAAAAAAAGCCAGTGTAAAAATCTAAGATAATGTAAAAGATACACAAAAATTAGCTCTAAATGGATCAAAGACCTAAACATAAAACCTCAAATTATAAGAATCTTAGAAAACGAAGGAGACACTCTTATGGAAATTGGAATTGGCAACCAATTCCTATTCAGAACCCTAAATGCCCCTACCTTAAGAAATAAGATAGACAAGTGGGACCTCATCAGACTAACAAGATTCTGCAAAGCAAAAGAAACCATCACGAGAGCAGGGAGACAGCCCACAGAATGGGAAACAGTATTTGCCAACTGTATAACCGACAAAGGCCTAACATCTAGGATCCACAAGGAACTCAAATGCGCCAAAAGGAAAAAAACAAACAGCCCCATTCAAAAGTGGGCTTGAACAGAAAAGACATGAATAGACACTTCTCAAAAGAAGATATATGGGCAGCCAGCAGACATATGAAAAAGTGCTTGAACTCACTAATCATCAGGGAAATGCAAATCAAAGCCACAATGAGATACCACGTAACCCCAATAAGAATGACCATCATTAATAAAATAAGCAACAACAGATGTTGGTGAGGATGTGGAGAAAAAGGAATGCTTCTACACTGCTGGTGGGAATGCAAACTAGTGCAACCTCTTTGGAAGACAGTGTGGCGATTTCTGAAAGTACTAGAAATTGACATTCCATATGACCCAGCAATTCCCCTATTGGGAATATACCCAGAAGAACTCAAGTTACTCTACCAAAAATAGATCTATACACACATATTTGTTGCAGTTCTATTCACAATAACAAAAACATGCTGCCCAACGAAGCTGGACGGGATAAAAAAAAAAAATGTGGTACATATACACAATGGAATATTATGAAACCATTAAAAAAGACAAACATATGAACTTCGCAGCAACTTGGATGGGTTTAGAAAGTCTATCATACTCAGTGATCTAGGACAGAAACATAGAACAGAGTACCATATGTTCTTACTCATAAATGGATCTTGAACAATTATTATAATACTATAAGAAAGGAATTGGTAGTAATGGTAAACTGCCAGGGGGCAGAGGGGGGATTGGCAGTTGAGGGAAACTGCCAGGGGAGGGAGGGGTACACCTCATCAACAAGAGTATCTACATAATGAACATTTATTTGTATACCTAACCCTGAATTGTACCCCATAGCTTTACAATAAAGAAAAAAAATGGTGAAAAAAAATAGCACAAAAGAGGCCAGATGTAGGGTAAAAAGTTACTAAGAAGTTATTATAGAAACAATTTTCTCAGCATGGTCAAAATTCAGTAGATGCCTCTCCATTATGAAGCCAAGGGCAAGAACACTTTTGCCAAAACCTCCAGTCCACTCCTAAGAAAATAAAAACCAGGGACCTTAGTATCATCAAGGCAAAATCTGACCTTTTAATGTTGCCTTATAAGCATGTATTCAATTGGTGTTTTCTTTCAGAGAATTTTTCATTAAAATTTTATTACTTAAATCCAAATTAGTCAGGCAAGATGGTTCTCTTTGGGCAGCCAAGTTGGGAAGATCACTTGAGGCCAGGAGTTTGAGATCAGACTGAGAAATACGGAGAGAACTGACATCTACAAAAAATAAGAAAGATTAGTCTGGCATGGTGGTACTCACTTGCAATCCCAGCTACTCAGGAGGCTGAGGCAGGAGGATCACTTGAGCCCAGAGTTCGAGCCTGCAATGAGCCATGATTGTGTCACTGATCTCCAGCCTGGGTGACAGTGCAAGATCCCCTCTCTCTTTAAAAAAAAAAAAAAAAAAATTTATCCAAGAGAATTTGTCAAAAATCTGCTTTCACTGATAAAGGATTTTGGCAAAGTCTTGGGGTACAAAATAAATGTGAAAAGATAGTTGCATTCTTTTTATTTATTTATTTATTTTGAGTTGGAGTCTCACTGTCACCCAGACTGAAGTGCAGTGGCCACCGCAGCCTCGACCTGCCGGCCTCCGGTGATCCTTCCGCCTCAGCCTTCCAAGTAGCCAGAGTTACAGGCATGCACTACCATGTGCATTCTTATACATCAACAACAAGCAAGTGGAGAACCAAATAAAAAGTACTATCCCATTCACAATAGTCACACACAAAAAGGAATACCTCGGCATCTTCCTAACCAGAGAAGTGAAAGACCTTTATAATGAGAACTACAAAACACTGCTCAAAGAAATCCAAGAAGACACAAACAAATGGAAAAATATTCCATGCTCACGGATAGGAAGAATCAACAATGTTAAGATGTCCACCCTACCAAAGGCAATCTACAGATTCAATGCAATACCCATTAAATTACCAACATCATTCTTCTCAGACCTGGGAATGACAATACAGAAATTCATATGGAAACATAAACGACCATGAATAGCCAAAACAATCCTTAGCAAAAGAAACAAAGCAGGAGGTATCACACTTCCAGACTTCAAACTTTACTATAAGGCTACAATAATCAAGACAGCCTGGTACTGGTACAAGAACAGGCATACGGACCAACAGAACAGGATAGAGATTCCAGAAGCAAAGCCTCAATTTCTCAACCAACTCTCTTTGACAAAGCCTCCAACAACCACCACTGGGTAGAGGAGAAACTATTCAGTAAATGGTGCCGGGAAAACTGGCTGATCACACGCAGAAGATTGAAACAGAACCCCTACCTATAACCACACACAAAAATTAAATGGATCAAAAACCTAAACGTAAAGCCTCAAATTTTCTAAGAACCTTAGAAAATGTAGGAGGTACCCTTATGTGAATTGGAACTGGCAACCAATTCCTGATCAAACCCCAAGTGCCCATGCCATAAGAGATAAAGTTTGTCATCAAACTGACAAACTTCTGCAAAACAAATGAAACTATCAAGAGAGCAGAGAGACAGCCCACAGACTAGGGAAAAAAAAATTTGCTAACTGTATATCTGACAAAGGCCTAACATCTAGGATCTATAAGGAACTCAAATGTGCCAAAAGGAAAAAAACAGCCCCATTAAAAAGTGGGCAAAAGACATGAACAGACATTTCTCAAAAGATATATGGACAGCCAATAAACACATGAAAAAGTGCTCAGCCTCACTAATCATCAGAGAAATGCAAATCAAAACCACACTGAGATACCACCTAACCCAGTAAGAAGGACCATCACTAATAAAACAAACAACAGACGCTGGCAAGGATGTGGAGAAAAAGGAATGCTTCTATACTGCTGGTGGGAATGCAAACTAGTGCAACCTCTTTGGAAAACAGTGTGGCCATTTCTGAAAGAACTAGAAATTGACCTTCCATATGACCCAGCAACACCCCTATTGGGAGTATACCCAGAGGAACTCAAATCATTCTACAAAAAAGATATCTTCACTCGCATGTTTATTGCAGCACTATTCACAATAGCAAAAAACATGGAACCAACCATGCTGCCTATCGAAACTGGTTGGGATTTTTAAAATGTGGTACATATACATGATGGAATATTATGCAGCCATAAAGAAGGACAAACATATGGACTTTGCAGCACCTTGAATGGATTTAGAGTCGATCATACTTAGTGATCTATCACAGAAACAAAGAACAGAGTACCATATGTTCTCACTCATAAGCAGAACTTGAACAATTATCTAACACTATAAGAAAGGGATTGACAGTAGTGTGGTAGACTGGCAGTAAGGGAAACTGCTAGGGGAGGTGGGCACACCTCATTAACAAGGGTATCTGCATAATTAACATTTGTATACCTAACCCTAAATTGTACCCCACACTTTCAAATAGAAATTAAAATAAAAAATAAATAAGTAAAACCATGTAAAAGAGGAGTATGATATGTTTTACAAAATCAGGACTTTAAATCACGAGCCCTTTTAGTGAATTAAAAATATATGATTCAACATACAAAAAACTTAATACATAAACAATCCTGAAGGAAAGTAACTGCAACCATTCTGACCCAAAATGCCATACAAGTTTCTGGGCTAGTTCATTCAAGAGATTTTCACTGATGGCCTACCATGTGCACACAGATGTGGTCTCTGCCGTCCTGGTGCTCAGGCTGGTGGGGGACGTGGAAAGCACACAGGTAAATGAACATACAAAGCGGATATTCCAGATGTGGTTAGGGCCCGCCTTTATCGTAGCGATGGCAAAGAGTAGCTGGAGAAGAAGGGCACATGGTCAGCGAAAGTGCCTCTTGGGAGAGGATCCTTCAACTGAGCCCTGAAGGATGAGAGAATTCTACCTTGCAGAGCAGGGTAGAAACTTTCCAGCAAGAGATGCAAAGAGCCGTGAGCAGGAAACAGCTAAGGAGACCACTGAGCTCAGCTTATGGTAAAACAGGAGAGTAGGCTGAGACCAGGGCATGACCAGCTTCCTACCCCCAAAGAGGGGCTCATACATGCAACTGGAAACCACTGGTGTGTTTACAGAAAAGGGACAGATCTGGTATACTTTGTCAAAAGCTCACTCTGGCAGCTTTTCAGGAAAATGAGACCATGGAGGAGCCGGAACGAAAAGCAGAAAACCCAGTTAGAAGGCTGTGTGGAGTCCGGAAGAGAGATGTAGCAGCTTGCCAATGGCAGTGGAACAGAGAGAAATAAATAAATTTGAGTTGTATTTAGAGAAAACATGCACTTGGTGATGGATTGGATGTGCGGGTGATGCAAAAGAAGTTAAAAAATCACTACTGTTTTTACAGAAGGAAGTCTCAAATAAAATCTATCGGTGAGAGTCAAGAAGACTTCAGCTTGAATCCGATTTTGCTGTTGCTTCAAGTTGCCGTCATTTTTGTTGTTAAGTTACCATTCCAGGGCCAGGCACAGTGGCTCATACCTATAACCCCAGCACTTTGGAAGGTCAAGACTGGAGAATCACTTGATCCTGGGAGTTCAAGACCAGCCTAACAAAGTGAGATCCTGTCTATTAAAAAAAAAAAAAAATTTAATGAACAAGATGTAATGGCATGTGCCTGTTGCCTGTAGACCCAGCTACGCAGGAGGCTGAGGCAAGAGGATCACTTGAGCCCAGGAGTTCGAGGCTGCAGTAATTTATAATCGTATCACTGCACCCCAGCCTGTCAACAGAGCAAAATCCTGTCTCTTAAAACAAACAAAAAAACTACCTTATCACCAACTGAAAATGTGAAAATGGGGTTGGGAAAAGGGGTACCACAAGGTGGTTTGGGGGAGAGGGAAGCTGGAAAACAATAGCCACAGAAGCTACCAACAAAACTGAGGCTGAGGAACTTTTCTGAGAAAAAATTCCCAGTCCTACACGCACTGGAGGCATCATTTTTTCTTAAACTCACTTAAAACTTCTATTTCTTCATTTGTCTTCTACCTCAGTTGCCTTTTAACTATTTGTTCCACCTTTTGCAGCTTGAAAACATTCTTCATAGAAAGACAAAGTCTAAAATATCTGCTGAGTATTACCCGTTTTACTGTTATCTTAAAATCCCAGTCTGGTCTTCTTTGGTTTCTTTGTGCCTCCATTCCTGTGGTTGCAAATTCGGCACATCTCTTACATCAGTTAGTATTTTTAGAAAATCCAAATTACTAAAAGATGCCAAAAAACCCTGACACCCCACTGCAAATTATACAGACTAACTGCTATTACTTGCTGTATCAGAAACGATCAATGAGATAGAAAACCTCTGTCATTTGCCCCCACAAGCCAAAGCTCTGAATGACACCTACAGAGTAGCCCTATCAGGGACCTGGACATGGCAGAGAAGAAAAACGGTCAGATCATAAATTAAAAAAAAAAAAACAACACGTGAGATTTCTATCATTCGAGAAGTTATATTTGTGGAAAACATCAGGGGGCCACAGAAGTTGAAATCCAGATGCAAGTTACTCTGTTTAGAGGCCCACTTGAGTCTCTAAAATGCTAGTGAGTTGAGCCGACTATAGGTAAGCAAGATTGGTAAAGCTAGACTTCTACTGACCAACAGTTAAAAAGTTTTGTTAAATGATAAATGTAGGGGCTTACTACCACTCAGTGTTAACTGAAGAGTACCAAAAACTTCAGTCTGGCCCAGAATACAGCTTTATCACTTTTTCATTGTTTTCAAAAAGCTTCCGGAAGTTGGTCAGGGGCAGTGCTGGTTCATGCCTATAATCTCAGCACTCTGGGAGGCCCAGGCAGGAAGATAGCTTTAGTTTAGGAGTTCAAGACCAGCCTGGGCAAAATATCCAGGCTCTGTCTCTACAAATCTGTCTAGCTATATATATAATTCTAAAAAAAAATTTTTAAAGCATACACAACTCAGATAAATAAATCGGTAAATCAACAATACCAATTCATGTGTTTTTCTTTTTCTTTTTTTTTTTTTTTTTGAGTTGGAGTCTCACTCTGTCGCCCAGACTGGAGTGCAGTGGCCGCTGCCGCC